TATTTACATTTCTTCATTCCTTACCGCGAGCGAACCAGTACGGTTTAAAGAAATTTTAAAAAAACCTACTTTAAAAATGAAGATGTTAATGATTTTCTCATGGATCCCATCTTCAGATCTTGACTAAATGTATATAGAACTATTCCTTTTCTATCAAAAACAGAAACATAGAAATCGGACAACGTGGTAAAGAATTATCGCTCAACATACATAAAACAATATTTCAATGAATTGAGAATATCCTCCCATTTTGAAGTATGTTAAAAACAATTGTGAATAAAGTGCAAAGTAGGGCGTGAACATATATTATAAAGTATATAAAATGATAGATAAAGCCATTTTAGAAAGTTTTATAAATAAACGGAGGAAGAATATTCTATGCAATTTAGAATGAAAGCTGATCAAAATGAAACACATGAACGACACGCTAATGTTATTAACAACTTTCTTCAAACATTTTCTAGTTTTCCGAAAACTGGACAGTTTGAAAATCATATCCGTCGTTAAAGCGCCTCTTGTTCCGAAAAAGGTACACGCCTGTCAACATTCATTTCAATAAAAAGTGTTAAGATACAAAACGCTTCGTATTGTAAGGCCAAAATAAATTTAGAAATCAAGAGTCATAAACAAAAAAATCATAAGTGAGATAACTACCAAATTAATGATTTACAAGGTTATTCTTATTATCTATAAAATAGGTTTGCAATGTGCTGATGTGGAATGTTATCATCGACTAAAAACTTTAAATCTTTGTATTAAATTGATCGAAAACAATCCATAAATTGGTTTAGACTATATAGAATGTTTCTTTAATCCACAAAATGTTTATGAATGACAACCCGGTGTTCATTGTAAAAACAATTCAAACATACTTACAAAACAGACAATTTTTCATTAAGATCAACAACACAAGAAAAGGACCATACACGGCTATGGCGGGTTCAGAACTGGCGTCGCACTTGTATATCATCATGACCCATGACATGCCAATGGGACATAATGGCATACAGACGGCGCTGTACGCCGACGACACTTGTATATACAAGTCATCACAGTCTGCAGAAATCGCGAACAGAAGGCTGGACATCCACGTCAACAGAATGTTAGTCCCCTATCTCGATAAAAACAAAATCAAGATAAATCCCACAAAAACTGAGAGCTTGATACTGTCTCAAAAACAGACTGAGAGAATTATTAATCAATTAAAAGTTCAAGGCCAAATGATTGAGGCCAAAGATACACTCAAATATTAGGTATAATTCTGGATAGGAGACGAACATTCAGACAACATATAAATGATAGGGTCGCTAAAACTATGGCATTTAAAATCCTCTACCCGCTACTGCATAGAAGAAGTGGAGTCACCAGTGACAATAAACTTCTTCTATACAAGCAAATAATGCGTCCTATTCTTATATACAGATATCCTGTCTTCTGTTCAATGGCTGATACACACTACAAAAAATTACAAGTAATGCAGAACAAGTATCTGAGGCTGGCATTGGGGTATGATCGCTATGCCAGAATACACGACATGCATATACAAACATCCATGGAGACTGTTAAGACACACATCCTTCGATTGTCGAATAACTTTTATAAAAACTGCCTTCCTAGCTGTTTTGCATAAAGCACTCACAATATACAGACGAGACTAAAACAGCCCTCAGCTAACGACAGGACGTGGACTGGGCGCTGCTACTGACTCACAACAGCGAGTATTACACTGAATAGCTAAATCTCGAAGCCGACTAGTTGTTAACTACCCAGATAGCACACGACGTCTGAAAGACGTCTTTTTTGTGTCTTGGTTAGATCTCAATGTCCTAGGACGTTATTAAGACGACTTATAAGACGTCTTTCAGTCGGACGGAAACTTGCACGGTTTACATAATTCAAATTTAACAAGAAGAATCAAATGAAGTGAAGTTTGATTTAACATTATATTCCAGCTGGACTTCCGATTCGGACACCATCGTGGCAATATTGAAATGGCGTTCTCCGAATCGGTAGCCAAGAAATCCCATAAAAATCACAAAATATCTAGTATAAAAGTGACCATCCGAATTTAAAATGTATACAAAATTAAACAAAATATTCAGTGTAATATTTGGAGAAGATAATTGAAATCAAATATCAAGTGCAGTGGAAAAGTGAAAAGATTGAGCCCATATAAAACGAAGAGAAGAAGAAATACATTTAAGCCCAATCCAAAAATTTGTATGGCCCAAGCTCATTGTGGATTATTGGTTATTTTATTGCGTACACGATTATAGCCACCAAAAGCGACTTTGGGCTATTTTGAGCATTTGTGTCTCTTTCTACTTAAATAATATGGAACAAAAACCAGAGAGGGAAGAATAGTTTGTGTTACCGATGCAGCACGTTCCTGGAATACAGGTAATAAATGAATATTTTTCTACACCCGTATTATAATAATGCACTTATATGCCCATAATCCGTTTCATAATGATACCCATTATGATACAGATTTTTCATTACGATACAGATTTTTAATCAATAGAAACCTACAATTTTTCAATCAAGCATGCTGTTTGACGTTTGTCCTAGGTTCCTATGTAATTATTTTAGTTGTCAAAACGTATTAAATTTTCGTAGGTAGCTAAACTTCGATAATTATAATATTAAAATGTCTGATATTAGCGATATAGAAGACTCCTCCACACATATCGGAGAAAGCAGAAAATACAGTACAAAATATTTTACCGCAAAAATCTAGGGAAATACCAATACCTGAAGTAATACCATTAATTACAATTTTGTAGAATTTTTTATAGAAATACGAGTAATTACTGTTATTGTGTTCAATACCAATATAAATATAATATTTATAGGTCTTGATTATTTATCGGGTGTAGAAAAAATAGCGTATGCAACTCTCATGTAATGGTTATTAAAACACTCGCATAAACCATACGAAACTCGCCTTTGGCTCGTTTCGTATCCCGGTTAATGCTCGTGTATTAATAACCATCATTACATGATCGTTGCATAATATACTATTGTTTATATACATAGAACATTAATATGCTGTTTCATCTAATAATTAAATTAATTTAAAAGTAAACATCTTAATATAAAATTAAATTCAGATATTCGTCAAGTATCATTTCTTTTGTTTTTATGGAGATTTTGAGAACTAATAATATCAAAAACTCCCTATTAGATAGCCATTTTGAGTGAAGTTAAAGTAAAATTGTTAAAGTAGGCGTAAGAAATTCATTTTTTGTTTTGTTTTATAGATAACTGTTCTGTCGGTTTTTACTAACTTTTGCAAAGTGTAATTTTCTGTGACTAGATGCTCTTAACTAAATTTCTTTTTAGGAGCTATACAAAGGCAACTACAAATCAAAGCGAAAAATCAATCCAGTTATGGCTAAAGAGGAGTGATCGAATGCGCTACAAAGAAAATAACTCTTAGTGACCTGTGATTAATAGATATTTTATCAATAAATATTTTAATTCTATTTTTTACATTATTTATAATCTGCAAGGTTGTTCTATTTTTTAATAACCAAGATATCCGACGTCCTACGTTCATAAGACATCTTAAAGACGTCTTATTTATGGCTTCATAAGACCATTATAAGCTATTAATAAGTCGTCTTATTTATGGCTTATTTAAAGCTTCACAAGACCATTATAAGCCATTAATAAGACGTCTTATTTAAGGCTTCACAAGACCATTATAAGCTATTAATGTCGTCTCAAAGACGTCGTATTTATGGCTTATTTAAAGCTTCACAAGACCATTATAAGCCATTAATAAGACGTCTTAAAGACATCTTATTTATGGCTTTACAAGACCATTATAAGCTATTAATAAGTCGTCTTATTTATGGCTTATTTTAAGCTCCACAGACCAATATAAGCTATTAATAAGACGTCTTAAAGACGTCGCTTTTTGTAACATCAGACGTCTTTCAGGAAATACCAGACGTCTTAAATGTCTTATGCTAGACGTCCTAAAGACGACTTTGTGCTATCTGGGTACCGTCGGATGGAAGACTGCACGGTGACATCATCGCCCGGTGCAGAAATTCGTGGCTTGCCTCGATTTCAGTACCGGACGGGGAAGTTACTGTGGGGTCTAGTGATTTGACTTTTCTCACGTACAAAGACTAACATGAGACGACATACAAGGAAAACCCTGTTTTTTTTTATAGGTTTTTCAGGGAAGACAATCACAATTAAAATCAGACAAAAACTCATTAAATTACCATTATCGTTCTTGTTAGACCACAAAAATGGCATATTATATTGTCTTCAATAAGGAGACGCCATATTAAACCCTAATCTTAAAAATAGTTGACACATACTCGGCCACGACATCGGTCATGGCCTTATAAGAGGTTATCATAGGCAGGTACACATCCAGAAGGAGACTGTTGTAAGTTCCCCTATATGTGTTCGAATACTATTTAATGTAAATGATTGTACATAATGTAAATAAAGAATTTTGAAACTAAAACTAGAATGTTTCTAGTAAGCAGCGACTAACTTTTATTATGGAACCGAAAGACCCTTTTAAAAGAGTTCAAAATTAAAATAAAATATGTACCAATTAAATGTAGTAGTAATTTTTAATTTTGAGAGATGCAGACATCCTTGGTTAATTTATATTGAAAATGGTAACATGAAAGGTCTTCGGTCTAGTTGTAACGAATGTAAAAAATTATATATATTATAAAAGAATGGTTGGGTTTTATTAAAAGTTAACTGTCAGTGGAACACAATTTACGTTTCACTCATCTAGCATATTCTGATACAAATGATTTATTGAATTAATGATCATATTAGAGCTAATAAATTATTTAGTTGATTAACTAATTTTTCAAAATGTTATCGACTGATGTTATTACTTTCGAGAAAAATCAAATTTCAAAAAGAAAAACGTTTTATTGAAAAATAAAAATACACAACATTAAACAAATTATTAAAATATTCCATGTTTATATAAACGAACAATTAAGCCTAAAACGAAGTACAAAAAATTAAATTCATTCTGATCTTAAAAGTAGCATTTATTTTTCTCGTTCATGGACTAATACGTCACTATTTTCGCTTTGTAAATTTTGATTTTTGTCGCCAGCACAGGCTAAGTCAACGACGTCTTTTAAAACGCCTTTAACGATACTTTCAGAATTATCACTTTCTATTTTTTTTAAATTAACGTCTTTTACTGGAGATTTTTTTGGTGATGATTTTGTAGGAGATTCATGTTTTACAGTTACCTTAGCTACATCTTCCTTTTTCGCAGTAATATTCTTAGGTATAGATAATGAAGTTCTAATTGGTGATAATTTAGTTTTATTTACACCAACTTTTGAGGGGGTACTTTTAGATGTTGAAGTCTTTGAACTACTAACCGGCAAAGATGCTTTTTTCGAAGATTTTGAATCTTTTACAGCAGAAGTAATTTTATTATCGTCTTTGGTTTTTATTGGTGAAGACTTTTTTGGTGTTGTTACTTCTTTTGAAGGAGATTTTCGGTCAACTAGCTTAACTGATTTGTCCAATTTCGTCAAGCTTTGTTTGTGATGGGTAACTTCAGTGTTATCACTAATTTCTTTTTTAGGGTTTGGTAACGTCTCAGGTTTCTTTTCCTTGGGAAGCTCTTTGGTTCGTTTAATATTTTTGGAATCTTCCTCTGTCTCAACTGGCATATCTTTTAGAGTCTTAATTTCTTTTTTTATTATTTTAATTTCGTCTTCTGTTAAAGTAGGCTTTATCAACTCTATTTCTGCATTGGTAGAATCAATTAAAATATCTTTTAGATGATCTTCAGCAGCAGTACTATGCTGGTCTTCTACTTGTTCTTGGTCCATTTTTACAGAACAATCGGTTTTTTCTTGTGAAGTACTTTCTTTATGGTCATTTATGCTATCATTAGGTGATGCAACGTCATCGGCAATACCATATTCCTCAGAAAGACCTTGATTTCCTTCTAAATGAACTTGGACTACTGTACATCCTTCCACAGATTGTTCTACAGACATAATAGTGTCTTCTACTGAAGTAGAAACCTTTAAGTCATCTTTAAAATTAGGACATTCCTCTATAATAGAACTGTGTTCAGTATTCCCGGACGAGTGTTGTAGGTCAATGTTAGTAACTAAAATAAGTTCTATATTTTTTTCAACAGTTTCTTTTGAAGAATTTAAGTTTTTCTTCTTTTTACTTTCAGAAATCAAACTTTTGGTTGTTTCCGTTTCATATTCTACAGTAGGTTTACACTTATTTGAACTATGTTCACTAGCTTCTAACTCAGAGTCTATTTTAATTACCTCATTTGAAGTTTCTAGTGCAGTAACTAATTTCACTTCCTTGGTATCTGAATCAGTGGTACACGTTAATTCATTAGATGCTTCTAGGTGAGGGCATATTTTAACTTCCTGGACGACAGAATCTGTTGCTTCAGTTAATTCATTGGATGCTTCTAGCTCAGAGCCTAATTTAACTTTCTGTGTATCTGAATCAGTAGTACAAGTTAATTCATTAGATGCTTCTAGCTCAATGCCTACTTTATCTTCCTGGATGTCAGAATCAGCTGCTTCTAGCTCAGTGCAAATTTGAATTTCATTGATATCAGAATTAGGTGGACATATTGATTTATTAGATGATTCCAGTTGAGTGCCTAATTTAACTTCCTGGATATCTGAATCAGTAGTACAAGTTAAGTCATTAGATGTTTCTAGCTCAAGGCCTATTTTAACTTCCTGGATGTCAGAATCAGTTACTCCAGTTAATTCACAGGTTGATTCTAGTTCAGTGTCTAATTTAACTTGCTGTGTATCTGAATCAGTGGTACAAGTTAATTCATTAGATGTTTCTAGCTCAAGGTCTATTTTAACTTCCTGGATGTCAGAATCAGTTACTCCAGTTAACTCACAGGTTGATTCTAGCTCAGTGTCTAATTTAACTTCCTGTGTATCTGAATCAGCAGTACAAGTTAAATCATTAGATGTTTCTAGCTCAAGGCCTATTTTAACTTCCTGAATGTCAGAATCAGTTGCTCTTAAGTCAGTGCACATTTTAACTTGCTGGGCGCCAGAATCTGTGGTCCCATTTAATCCACTGGATGCTTCTAGCTCAGTGCAAATTTGAATTTCATTGATATCAGAATCAGGTGGACGTATTGATTTATTAGAGGATTCCAGTTCAGTGCCTAATTTAACTTCCTGGATATCTGAATCAGTAGTACAAGTTAAGTCATTAGATGTTTCTAGCTCAAGGTCTATTTGAACTTCCTGCATGTCAGAATCAGTTACTCGAGTTAATTCACAGGTTGCTTCTAGCTCAGTGTCTAATTTAACTTCTTGTGTATCTGAATCAGTGGTACAAGTCAATTCATTAGATGCTTCTAGCTCAATGCCTATTTTACCTTCCTGGATGTTAGAATCAGCTGCTTCTAGGTCAGTGCATATTTTAACTTCTTGAACACCAGAATCTGTTACTTCAGTTAATTCGCTGGATTCTACTAGCTCAGTATCTAATTTAACTTTCTGTGTATCTGAATCAGTAGTACAAGTTAATTCATTAGATGTTTCTAGCTCAAGGCCTATTTTAACTTCCTGGATGTCAGAATCAGTTGCTTCTAAGTCAGTGCATATTTTAACTTCCTGGGCGCCAGAATCTGTTGTCCCAGTTAATCCACTGGATGCTTCTAGGTCAGTGCAAATTTGAATTTCACTGATATCAGAATCAGGTGGAAATGTTGATTTATTAGAGGATTCCAGTTCAGTGTCTAATTTAACTTCCTGGATATCTGAATCAGTAGTACAAGTTAAGTCATTTGATGTTTCTAGCTCAAGGCCTATTTTAACTTCCTGGATGTCAGAATCAGTTACTCCAGAAGATGCTTCTAGCTTAGTGTCTAATTTAACTTCCTGTGTATCTGAATCATTAGTACAAGTTAATTCACTAGCTGCTTCTAGCCCAGGACCTATTTTACTTCCCTGGAAGTCAGAATCAGTTAAATCACTAGATGCAGGGCATATTTTAATTTCTTGGATATCAGAATCAGCTGCACATTCATTAGATGCTTCTAGGTCAGTGTTCATTTTAGCTGCCTGGATTTCAGAATCGGTTGCTTCAGATAATTCAATAAATGTTTCTAGTTCGGGACCTAATTGAACTTCATGGATATTGGAATCAGTTGTACAAGTTAATCCAGCAGATTCTTCAAGATCAACTTTTACAGATTCATCTTTTGGCAATAACTGTTTAGTTATTACTGCATCTTCATCATGTACTTCACCTACTAACTCTGATTCAGGAATTGATGTTAAGTTATCTTTGATTTCACAAGGTTCAGCTTGTAAGTCTAAATCAGGTTCTTCCGTTGTGTCTTTATAAGTTGTTATTAAGGTGTTATCACTATCATCATCCACTAAAGGTTCCATAACATTTAAAACACTCTTTATTTCGGGTTCTGCAGCCTCTAAATCAGTCTCAAGACATTTTTCCTGGACATCTCCTATTTTATCACTTATTTCTGGATGGAAAACAACTTGAACTTGTTCTTCTGAAATATTTTCATTAATTACACAATCAATGTTGGCATCCAAACTGCCTTGTGAATTAAAATTTTTCTCAGCAATTTCATCTTGTGGCTGTGCAGTATCTTCGGAAGCGTCTAAACTATTCGTTGTGTCTAATTCTACAAATTTTGGAGGTTTAATGACAGCATTTTTAAATGATCCTAGTAGTGGCCGGATATCTTTACCAGCGAGGTACAACCTGACGGTTTTTTCATCGACGAATTCTATCTGGAACCTGGTTGAACCTGTAAACGGAAACTTATATTTTATTAATGAGTTATAGGTGAATTATTTTTTATGCGAGGAGTACAAGTGCTGTGATTTTAAAAACATTTTTTTTTTTAGTGTTTTTATGAGTATTTGAATTTTATATTAAATGATTCTCACTACATTGTTGACAAATTATTGTAAAAATTAGTTTGATAAAAAGAAAAATACTCACAAAAAAAATAAAATAAAGTTACAGTAAAAGTTATATACATGAGTTAGTCAGTTATATACCGAATTTAAATATATTTGTGGGGTGTGATGATGCGGATTTTCTTTAGATTAATTTACATCTATAGAATGTTAGTTTGGTTAATTGGTGATTACCAAGCTGTAACCAAATGGTACTTTTCCAATCATTTGTTTTTGACAGAGTTGTAGGAATATTGTATTTTTCATTAATACGAGAACTATGACGTAAAATAACCAATTATGTCTGTCACAAGTAACGAAAAAAACTGTCAAGAACAAAATATAATTTAATTTGACAAAAAAAAATAAAAATAAAATTTTTATTTTACACATCTACTTACCAGTGCATATTTATAAGTAGTTGTATATGTTTTTCTTGATATCAGTTTGATGACTAAACATTGTCATATTTTAAGGGCAGCAGTTATACAGGGTGAATCGTAAGTTGATACTTTTTTTAACGGTGCACAGAAGTCTTTAAAATAAGCATCTTTTTCAAATAACTTTTTTCAAAACACTCAAAAATAAGACTAAAAAAATCTAAATCCGGACCTGGATTTGTGTATTAAAAGTTAAGATAAATCAGAAGTATGTTTATGGTTTTATCTATTTTGGCACAGGGTTCAAGAATGCTGGTTGATATGTAATTTATTAATTTATTTATTTACGGACAAGCCCATTTGAGAAATAAATTACAATTTTTAATTATAATGTAGTAAAATATATATGGTGCTGAAATACAAATGTGGTATAATTCATTACATATAGACTAAAATAGGTAAAGAATTACGACAAAAGACAATAAGGTTAAATAAAATATTAACATTAGACATTAAAAATTAAAGATCAAAGCTCAGTACTAGTAATTGCTTTATAAATATATGAAAGAGGGTGTTAAATATTTCAAGATCGTTATGAATGTTGGCTAATCTTAACATTCTTGGAATGCAGCTGCTAAAAGTATGGTTTAAACGATAAAAAGGTACATAAAATGTTTGTTGCTGTCGAGTTGAGCGGGTTGGAACATAAAGATTTATTTTTGTTAGAAGTTTAGAACAGCTGCATCTCCCATTGATAATTTTGAAAAGTAATGTCAGGTCTCTCTGTTTCCTCCTAGTTTCCAAAGAGGGGATGTTTAGAAATATCTCTATCAAACCATACTCGCAAAGGACACCGAATTTGTATTTAAGAAACTTATGTTGCACATTTTCTATGTGTCTGTGCGTTATGTAATGTGGAGACCAGACAGAAGAGCAATAATCTAGGTGAGGTCGGACTAGTGAACAATAAAGGACTTTAATTGAAGTTGTGTCAGTAAAATCATGTGTTAGCCTTTTGATAAAACCTAACATTTTCATGGGTTTATGGATAGCCTTAGGTATGTGTTGATTGAAACTTAAAGTGGGATCTAGAATAACTCCAAGGTCTTCAATTTGATTAACAGACTCCAAGATATGACCATTTAAATTACAATCAAAAGTAGTAGTTGGTACATGGGATCGATAAAAGCGCATGACATGACACTTTATGGCATTCAAGTCCATGCCATTTAAGACCAGTTTTATAGATTATCAAGGTAAGACTGAAGCCAGAGGGCATCATAAATGGTTTTAATAATTAGGAAAACTTTTAAATCACCTGCAAACAATAGAGCTTTGCCATACTGAAAACAATGAATGATGTCATTTATAAATAAGTTGAATAATAAGGTATCAAGGTGTGATCCTGAGGTAACCTGAAATGAGTTAGATTAGTGATGGTTTACTCTAACCATTTAAGTTCTGTTCGTAAGATAGCTACTAATCCATTGCAGTACGACCCCATTTATGCCATATTTATCGAGCTTTTGAAGAGAGAATGGTTGGCCCTGTCAAAAGCCTTAGAAAAGTCAGTGTACACAGAATCAATCTGTCAACCCTTTTCCAAAGTTTCAGACAGGAAGTCGACGTAGGTAACTAGAATTAATTCAGTCAATTTCCTGGCACAAAAACCATAATGATGATCTGTTATGATGCCAGAGCAGTCATAGGTAAGGTAGTCTGTTATAATGTTCTCAAAAATCTTAGGTATAGTACTGAGAATAGATATAGGTCGGTAATTTTTGACGTCTGACTTGCTACCCATTTGTATATTGGGTTGACATAAGATAGTTTCCAATAATCTGGAAACTCACCCGTGGCGATAGATTTATTGAAAATATAGAAGAAGACAATACGAAGCTGCAATTTCGGAGTAGGATGGGAGGAATAATGTCAAGTTTAGATAATTTCTCGTAAGTGGTCGAAATATGAATGTGGTAAGAGGAAACATTAAGTTTTGATTCAATATTGTTAAAATTTTGATTAGTGTAAACTGATGAAAAATGCTTGGCAAACAGATTTGATACTTCACTGCCACAAGAAGCAAAAAAGTCTTCAAGGTTCATATTATCAGGTATGGTGTTATTAGATCTTTTGGTACTTACAAAATTTTTAACATTACTTTTAACAGAATGTATGTAATTTGAATAGCATTCTCTGGAATTGTTTATATTATTTATATTCGCATACATTTTTTCATCGTCGCACTACGAATAGTATTAGTGCTTATCTAAAAAAATTGAGTACAGGTTATTGTGATTCAGTCGTGTATGATTTTAGTAGCATGTTTACTGAAGTAGTGAAAATTGTACAGTATGGTAGATTATGACAACAATGAACATGTTGCTTATTTATGGTGTCTTTAAAATACCAGTTGCTGCATCGTTGTTGTACAGTGAACACTTTCCCTTGCCATCCCATCCTAGTCTCAGAATTTTCAATAATCTGGTTCAACGGGCTAGGGAAACATGTGATTAGCGGGAACATCAAGGAGGACATGTAGGAAGACCGAGAAGACATAAAGTGCGTTTAGAACAACACAATTTAAATGTTAACAAAGAAGATCCAACAAGTAAGCAGGTGATTCCAGATTAGGTTGGACTAAGTCAAAGAAAATTGAAGACCAATGGTATCCCTTTCACGTTAAATGTGTTCAGGTACTAAGAAGATTTCCCCCGCAGAGTTGTTTTTATTAATGGTTCTTACAACAGCATGTACGTGATCAACATATTTCCCTGAAAGTTCTCGCTAAGGACGAGTCAACATTTGTCTGAAATGGATTTAACAATTTCCGAAATACGCATAATCACCATGCAATTGGGAGAAGCAATTTTTAACACCGATTTACCGTAAATGTATGGTCAGGAATTGTGAATGGATTACTACTTGGATTACCAGACCGTTCGAGGGGGCGAAATATCTTATTTGTTTACAAAATTATCTGCCTGGTCTTTTAGAAAACGTACAATTAAATATTCGGCAAGATATATGGCTTCTGCAGGATTGAGAGGCACTTGCTCATTTTAGACAGGAAGTGCGAGATATTTTAAAGACGAACACGTGTATTGGTCGAGATGGACTAGTTGTGTGGCCACCAGACCTAAATCTCTGATTTATTCTTGTGGGGCTACATGAAAACTTTAGTTTATAAAACGCCGGTAAACACATTAATTGCATGCATAGAGAAGGCTACAGAAACAATTAAAGGAAACCCGTTATGTTAAAGTGAATGGTGACAACTTTGAAGTTTCTTATTTTTGAGTTTTTATGAAAAGTTGTTAATTTTAATGACTTCGACTAAACACAGTTAAAAAAAGTATCAACTTAGGATTCACCCTGTATTTTACATTGTTTTAAAAAAATCTGCTTTCAGAAGTACCACTTGAAGTTATATTCAAATATATCTGAATTTCAATTCTTGAAAAATGCTGCAAGTTATCTTTCTTTTTGATATTGAAAACTAAAAAGATGCAAAATGATTAAATTTAAAAACGAACATTTCCAGTAGCTATATAACATCTGTTACTAAATAAAATTGCTTCTCCCCGTGCTTGCTTGATCAACTGTCAGCCATATCGTCGTCAATATCACAAAGTGACGTAACTAGAAAAATTGAAAATTGAGATAAGTGTATTATGTAAAAAAGTGTGCTCTACAATTTCACGAAACTGCATATTTTAATTTATTACATTTATTAAAATAGCACGTATCTAACCGGTGTATCTGATAATTTCACGAAGAGACGTAACTTTATAAAAAAAACTTTAAAACGTTCTCTTGCAAAGTTGTGAAAATCGAGTTACGTCACTTCGTGATATTGACGACGCTATATGGGCCAAGAATGGACTTCAGATGTATTTAGTTTGGACAAAAATAAGTTAATTTAAGTCAATTTACATTAATACAATTTTGCTTGCTTAAATAATTTTTTTTTTTTCATTTTTGATATATCATTCAATTATTTTTTGAGTAAATATAAACAAAATTTTGCGAAAGTAAGTGTTTTTGGGTGATACATTACAATACATGTACAGGGCCGTTTTAGACTGGCATGCTAATATAGTCAAAGAATACCTACACAAGAAGCGAAACTGAATGAGTTATCGTATGTACTAAAGCATGGGAACTTAATACATTGGGAAACGTATAAAAATTAATCAATTTTTGTTGTTTGGTTCATAAGAATTGAACAAATACCAAAGTAACAATGACAATACAAAAAATTCTTACTATGTTCTTTATATAAAATAGATTATTTTAATAACAAAATAAGTACTGTAGGTACAATAATAACAGTCACTATACAATAGCGTAAGCAAATAACCTGGTCATTCTGTAAATAGGGAATTTTGAGAACAATTGAAGACAAGTGGATAAATGTATGTCACATTTTTTCAAAAAATTATTTTTAAGGCCTATTATACTTA